TCTGAGGCTCCAGAAAGCAATAACAGATGATGATTACTGCAAAAGGTTGCATTGCAACCACATTTTTAAATTTCCGCACCCTCAATTAAATGGGTGCAAAAAAATAAAGATACTTTTTTCTTTTTATACTTTCAAATGACTGAACAGTGACTCAGATCCATAATCTGATGGTCATGACATGTGCATGTGACCTGTCTGTTCACTGGGGACCCCAAGCAAGACGCCGGGGGCCATAACCCCAACGCTATTTTTCCTTGCTGCACCCCCTTAAACCTCAGATGCACCTTAAGTCATTTTGTTCTAAAACCAGGTGGGCCTACATTGCAGTTGTATGTCTGTGTTATGAGCTTTGCTGCCCCCTAGTTGCAAAATGTATGCAATCACTGCTTTAAAAAAAAAAAAGAATTATTATCAGCACATTAATTCCCATTTTGTTTTTGTTGTTTGTGATTTTAGAGTGAAACAAGTCAACACAGCTCTCAGGTCATTCAATATGTTTTTATTTACCAACAGAAAACAACACATATACAGAAGTACATAGATGTAACATCCAGCTGATTCACAGTTACACCACAAACACTAAAAATGACTGTACATAACACTGACTCTACAAAAAAGACACCAACAGTCACATCTCATGACCTTTGACCTTGTGTGCCAGCTTTCAGGAGACGTTGTGGTTTCAGTCCACGTCACTGTAACCAGGTTTGAGATCTCGTTCAGTCCTGATAAACACTCCTCGAGCATCGAGCCAGTTTCAGAATGACTGGATGCAGAAAGTTTTGCAGCATCACATAAACTTTGCTCTCACAATACACTGATGACTAACAATGCTCAAACACTCCTTTGCACTCACACAAACACACACATGGGCAGCTGTGCTCACACACACACAAACGTGGTAAGAACCTCTGTCCCAGTTCTCTTCTGTCAGATTTGCAGGGAGGAAATCCTGAGAAAGAGATAGAAGAGTCAAACTGTTCAGACATATCAAAGCTGAAATCTGCAGGTGCTGCCTGATGCTGATACGGTTTCTGGAACTGTTGATGATTCTAACCACTTCAGTTTATTTTAAACACGGCTGTGACATTAGATTCAATGTGTTGTGTGGAGGAGGAGTAATCTGATACGTTTGTTGATCATGTTTTTAGTGTATTTAAGGTTGTAATGATACCAGTATTTTAAACTCTTGGTGGCGCAATGGTTAGGGCGCGCGTCCCATGTGTTGAAAAAAAAGGTCAAAAGTTTTTGACCTCTAAAGAGCAAGGTTAACTGCAGTACTCGTTTTAAAGGAGCAGTATGTAACTCTGACACCTAGTGGTTAAAATGGGTACTGCAGTCCAAATTCTAAACATTGTAGAGAGCTGTCCCCCCCCCCTCTGTAGAGTGGATGCTCACTCAGGTCACCATGTGGTGGACTCTGAAGCTTCAGTGTTTATCCAGCTCTGCATGGGTCTGTAAACCTTTCTGTGTTCTAACCTCTCTCCATTTTTCAAAAGCATCTCCAATATTGATCCTAGTTTGAGCACGTTTCTGCTCGTGGAGCTTATTAGAAACATGCAGAGGCTTTTTAGGTCGGGTACAATCACTTCTATCTGAACCACTTCTCTTGCTGCTTCCATCACTGCAACACCTGTTGACCTGATAACTGCTCTCATATCTGGCAAACTGAGGGGCATCCAAAACGGCCGTGTGGGGGTGTGTCATAAAACCGCCTACCTTCTCTGGTCCAAACAAATCCAGAGCATTCAGGAGCAGAATCTAAAGTTAGAAGGAGGACATACTGGCTGCTGCATTGTTGTCAGAGAAGCCAGCACTTCAACATAGCATGTTTCCTTAATGTCTCTAACATTTTAAATGCCGGTCCTGGTCAGCTCTTACCTCTACACGGAGCTCGAGGACTGATCAGACAGTGAAATGGGATTCCAGATGTTTTGACCTTCATAAGTCTGACCCGTGTGGTACCCGTCTCCTCCAAGTGACGCTGAACGTGCCCCTTTAAAAAACATTTACATAGTCTCTTATAGTGTGTTTGTTAGTGACAGAAAGAAGCAGATCTTCTTACCTGTATTATTATAGATGCACCAAAGCACCCCCATCAGCATGACCCCCATCACAAAGGCAGTGAAGACGATTCCAACCAAAGGTCCGGTGGGGATCACAGGACCTGGACACAAAAGCATGACGGGTGAAACAGTTTCACAGAAACCCTGGAACATGAATGAATAAATGATACTCACTGCTTTGCTCTGGGTGTTGATCTGTCAGCGGAGACACGCTCAGTCGTTTTGTTCTTTGGCCAGTAGGGGGCCTCGGCTGTTTGGGAGCCAGTGAACTGATGGGCTGGGTGACGACCATGGGCCTGGAGAGGTTTCTGATCTCACACTGGGGTTGGATTCAAAACAGGATTATTAGTAATGCTGTTTTTGAGGTCTGTAACTCACTGAATAGATACATTTTTGTTATTAACGTAAACTAGATGTGATGTATTTGAGTGTAAGCTTATTTTCTTTTTCTAACTTCGATGCCTTCCTGGTACTTGTGTTTTAGATACATGGTCAGACGGGACCATCAATCAGGCCGAGGGGAACTGGCATCGGGTAGTCCCTAGAGCACCTCTTCTTTTTGCATTCCTTACACAGGATGTAAACAAAGTAACGTTGGTTCAGTGTGTCAATCAAAGCTTTGTCGTTGTTAGCAGAGAGCCCTCCCTGAGACGGCTGTGAGTCTCCTCCTCCTTATCATCAGACTTTGGGACACAATCTTTACATGTAACAGTTCCATATTTTCCAGTATTTAAATGTTTCATTTTCTGTATTTGACAGGATTATTTGTGTTCTTAGGTTTAAAATGTAACCATTGAGTGTGAACTGTTTCAGTACCTGACGCCCGGGCGATCTGGATACAAGTGGAGGGATTTGTATCCCACCCTGACAGTCACTCTGTACGGTCTCCTCCATCGGCTCCCTTCTTATGGAGTCAGAGACACACAGGCGGAGGCTGCAGTGGAGGAACTGCACAGAGTTGTTGTAAACTGGTTGCAGGATGAAGCTAAATCTAAGGGGAGGTATCACCTCCTCTGCCGTCGTACTTCTCTTTTCCATCCTTGTTGCGGCAGCTTCCCTGCTTCTTTCAGTCTTATGTTGCACTGAGACCCCTCCTCCCTTGTAAAAGATACTGATTTTTCCCATTCGCTCTACATCTTCATTTTCCTTTTCTAGTTCACCTTCGCCCTCGTCTTTCTCTGTTGTTTTTGTCTTTTTAGCAAGTGTGACAGAGGGGTCTGAGGAACAGCCGTCCCTCATGACAGTCCAGAAACGAGACTTTTTGGGGTCTGAGATAGGAGAGACCACACATGACTTCACCTCCAGGATGTCTATGAAGGGCCCTTCAGCTGAAATCTGTAGAGCAGTAATGAAGGACACAAAGTCAAATGTCTGGACAAAAGGATAAGTATGGACTACTTACTAGGTAAGTTTGAAGCAAATATGTACCTCAACATAGACTCTGTGGTCTGCAGTAATGATACAGGGTCCGATCCGGCCCTGCTCATATCCCTCAGTGACAAAAAGCCTCATAACAAGAACAGGCCCGGATTTGTAGCTGGATGTTGGTAGATGGCTCGGTGCAGGATCAGGCCTCTGACCCTTGGATGGCCAGGGAACATGCCCCACACGGGGAAAGTTTATATTTCCTTCATTACCTTCATCCAGGCTGGAGGGGACAGGGTCTGCAGCCAGGCAGCTGAACTGTGAATGATTATATTTCATAATTAAAGATTTAAACATTTTTAAACAAAAAATAAAGGTAGACAGACACATCCACACACACAGATATCTCACATGTATGCCGAATGGACTTCTGCTCTTCTTCTCTGTCTCGTTAAGTGCAATAAAGGTCTGCGGCTTCTCTCTCCATAATAACACCTGGTCAGAAAGGAGGGAAAAGAGGAACATCCATACTGCATGTGATAATTCACTGATACAAATAAGGCCACGGTGTCTACACTGACTCTTATCTTAAACAACAAACGGTATGTAAAATCGGAAAAAGACTATCACAAGTATAACATGACATTTTGTAATGCTATTGGTGTTTTTTTTCTGTTTACATTATTTCTTCTGGGAACATCATCTACAAAAAAACATGAATCTTCAAACATTATGACACACAGCGGTTTGTAACAAAAAACGTCTAGTCAAATTCTCCTGTTTGGTGTTATCATCCATGAGACACCCAGATGCCAATGACACCCAGATGTTTGTATCAAAAATAGTTTTCTGGATCAATACAGTCTTTTGTGACATCATTTACGAGTAATATTGATTCTTACGCTGATGACACTCAGCTATAAGTGTCGAAATAGATTTCTGGTAACATGCTCCCTTCTTGAGACATCATTCAAAACTAGGAACATTGTACACAAATATTTCAAATTTTAATCTTTACGCTGATGACACCCGGCTGTTTGTACCAAATTTATGTTTTGGTTACATCTTCATTTATAAGTAATAATAGTTATTACGCTGATGACACAACGCTATATGAACTGGTTACATCTTCATTTATAAGTAATAATAGTTATTACGCTGATGACACAACGCTTTATGTACTAAATAGTTTTCTGGATACACACTCACTTTTGGGTTACATGAATATGAAACGTCACTGATTATATTCTTATGCTGATGACACCAAGCTGTATGTACCAAAAACACGAAAAAACACTTCAGCTTTCCTACCTCAAAGTATAAATAAAAAATAAAACTATCTTCTTCTTACCTTAAAATGTAACTCATGCTTTTATTTTATTCTGTGTTGATTTATGTAACTCTGATTATTTATCTAAGATGTTTTCCTTTGGTGGCAGAATGGTACAGAATGCTCCTAAAAGTAATTTCTGGTGTCAAATCTGATTATTACCGGATGAACAAAAGATACATTTTACCATTTTTAAGACATATTTTTATTTAATGCTTCTGGCACTTTGGCTCGCTAAATTCTGCTCTGTGCGGCATCCTATTTTAGGCTTAAACTCAGCACTGTTCTGGTCATGATGACCCAGGTCACAACCTGACTGGGGCCACTTACCACAATTCTAAGAGTCAATTATGCGCCTTGTGTGTGCATTTCTAACACTCTGTGATCGAGTGTAGCCTTATTTTGATTTCAGATATCTTTTCCCCCCTGGTGCTCTAAAAGCATCACTGATTCAGTTTCTGACATTTTCAGCTTCTTTTATGACCATTTTCTGCCTTTGTTTTTGTTGTCATACTCAAAGAGGATAAGGAAAGATAACATAAATCTTCCAGAATTCTCTATCTCTATCTGTTTCTCTCATTGCTTTCTGTCAAGTTTATGCATCTCACCATGTTTTTGTACTGCACCCCTCTGGGCTGTGACAGGATCACACCCTCTGTCCCACAGGAAATGACCGGGAACACCAACAGGAAATGGCTCCCATTAGACTCAGCCTGGCACGCAGAGTCCCGAAGAGTTACAGCTGCAACTGGGACCGACAAGCTCTGTGGGAAAGGACCAACGTTACATTCAAATGGAATAGTTTGATAAGAGCAGAATTTCAAAATGTAATAAATTAACAAAGTTTTAATACAGAGATCGTTAACTTCAGTAGTAAAGTTGGAGGTTCTTTGTAGAGTTTGACTAGAAGTTAACCATTTCACATAACTTGGTAACTAGCATGATTTTGAAAGTAGTATTCCCTCAGTGCTCCGTCTGCACCCGCCCCCTCCCTTCTTTGCTCCATCTAAAGCCACGCCCCCTCACTTACATGTACGAGCGCCGTCGCTCCAGAAGTGGACCTCAGCTAATGTCGTCTCATGTCTCATTCAGCGGTCAGTAAACTCTCAGTATAAACTCCTAAAGTCATCGGTGACGTGCTTTGAGTGTGAGCTAGAGCATGCAAGAGGTAGAGAGCGAGCAAGGAGACAGGGAGGCATGTGATTGGTTCATCAGATTGGTACCTCGTGGCAGACATTGGTGGACGTTTTTACAGCCTTACAACTGATACAGATGATGGATTTTCTTTGTTCCTTTTTCAGAGAACATGAGTTATTAATTTCTGTCAGGACCAAAAGACAATTTCCACCAAAATCTTAAAAAGTGGATCTGGAGGAAATTAACAACCCTGCCTGTAGTGTCATTGGTTTGGCATTCTAGTCTTTGTTAAACCACAACTTATAAGAATCTTCTTCCTTTCTTTTTTTAAATGAATTGTTAAAATATAAAACTGCATGTAACGCTGAGGTGTAAAGACCTGCAGGATTTGTTGGTCGAGGATCACTTCGAGGCGTCCATCCTCACACTGCACCGCAAAACTCTCTCGACCCCCTCCTGCTCCGTCTCCAGTGTTTAACCACTGTCTCAGCCTGCGCTCCTCCACCCAGGGAGGCTTCACCACCCGAGGAATCATCCCTGCAACCTCCTCTGTGGTACAGACGGCGAGGAGACAAGGAGACAAGGAGACAGCCATGAGGAAACGTTCAAAACTGCAACATGTCCTCATTCGACACACATGGAGTGATGGACTCTTATAAATGAAGTAAATAAAAAATGAGAACAAAGATGGAGTCAAAATAAAACAGAAGATTTCAGGTCACTCACACAGTGATGGAAACAAGAGACACACAGGGGTCCTGACCTGTCCCGCCCCCGGCCAGCTGGATCACAAAGCGATTGGCCAGGTCAGCCTCAGTGTATGATGTCACCTTGCTGTAGCCGCTCTCATTGGCCCACCGGAGCAGGTCAGGTATGCTGGACAGGTCAGAGTTCAGTGAGCTGGACAGGGTGAGGTCAGGCTCAGGTGGGTAAGGTGGAGAGATGGTGTTGGAGGACTGGAGAAAAAAGGAAGATTGAAGATTCATACAGTGGACAGAAAAAGTGTGTGTAGTGAAGAAGTGCAGATGGTGCACTGAGGGAATGCTACTTTCAAAATCATGCTAGTTTTCGAAAATTACCAACCCTGCCTTTAATGCTCTATAGATAAAGTGGATTAGATTAGATTGATGTATGATGTTGTGTTTTCAAAAAGCAAAGAGAGAAGGACTCCTTACATGAACAGAGATATGACCCCGGACCCCATGAGACACGATGGCCCAGTTCACCGGCACCAAGCTGCTGAGAATCAGCACAACATTCAGGGCTTTTGAGTTGGCCACCGGGGGCACCAGAGAGACAACAACCTCCACCTGTAGGAAACTGAAGAAGAAAGAACAGTTAATGTCTACATGGCCATACACTGTACATGTTTTTGTCAGGGCGGTCTGAGGAGTCGTGGTCTCACCCACAGAGTCCTGAGCCGGCTGAATGGAGTTTGATCACGTGGACTTCAGGACCGACCCCACCTGCTGACGTGTCGGAGCAGCACTGCACTTCCTGTGGCTGCAGGTCAGAGATCACGTAGTTGTGAGAGAGGAACATGGACTGCAGCTTGCAAGCAGCAGGACGGCTCGGATCTGTAGAATAAAGACAGAGCAAGAGGATTTATGTTTATATATAAAGTCTTTCTGTCAGTCCGATCAACCTCAGCTCTCTGATACATATTATATATTACTTCATTTCTCTAGTCCCTCAATTAAACAACTTTTATCCACGAGGGGAGGAGTCAGCCGGCCGTCCTGGCGATGTAAACAAAGTGAAGATAGGACTCTGAAAACTCTGAAAACATCACAGACAGTGGGACTCGGGTGTTACACCCATTGTAGACAGTCATGACTCACAGAGTTATTTTCAGAGGAGATACTTGATTTATATTATATTTAAGTGTGAAAAATATTAATAATGAACATCTAGATATTGTTATTTGTTTTGCTTTTTTTTTTTGTTGCTCGTGTCTTTCACTCTCTTCTAGACTGAATAAAATCTGTACTGTGGAAACTCACCCTCTCCCAGTTTGATGTAGACTCGGTTGCCATGGGTCGAGTGGGTCATAGAGGACAGGTTGCCGTGGTGCTTCAGAGCCCAGCGGTGCAACGCTCGCGGACCGAAAGGCAGCGACTTCACACTGTGGACGTGCACGTGCAGGGAGCGGGACTGAACGCTGGAGTTTGAGGAAACCTAACAGAGGAAGACAGAACCTTTTTCCAGTGGAGGGAACTTTAACACTTGGTGGGATTACATTTTTCAGCTTGCTGAGACTGACCTGAACCTGCACGGGGAGGTTCGGGGGGAGTCTTTCGGCCTCCAGACACCAGGTGACTGGGAGCTTTGAGCTAAGCAGCAGGTGGAGAGCTCTGAGAGGGGAGGGGGTCGGAGACAAAGGCTTCAGCAACACCGTCACCTGCAGACAGAAGAGCACAGGGTGGGAGACAGTGGAGGTGTAAAGTATTCTGTCATTATGTTGTTTTTTGACAGAATGCACTCAAAAAAAAGAAAAGTCCATCCTCTCAGTCCTTTGCAGAAAATGTGTGCTCAAACAGGCCGTTTGGAGATTTTCCCTTCATGACATCACAAAGGGCAGTAGCACCTCCCCCAGGTGGGTGACACTCCCACAGCTAGGTGTTTGTTCTGCCCTCTGAGTCTGCCTTCTCACCGTAAACAATAGGACATGGAGCGAGAAAGCCTGAGACACCCAAGCCCTTCCAGAGAGGGGGCGTGGTCAGACACAGCTCATTTACATATTTAAAGGTACAGACACAGAAACAGTCTGTTCTGAGCAGGGCTGAAATAGAGGGGTTTATAGACATGATCAAATACAGGATCAGAGTGGATTTAGAACAAGAAACTTCACACACATGTTTTGAGGAGCTCTGAGACTTATTTAAACTGGAGAGGAGGAGGAGATGTGGAAATTATTACATATTTTAATAAATTTGCTTTCAGATGTAACTTCACACATTAGCTCACCAAGACTTCCTGAGATTTTATTTGGAGGCTTGCAGAAAAACAGTCTGGATAAAGTCGTGTGTAGTGACTTTTGTGCATGTGTGAAAGCAGCTTCTGATTTCTTCGTTAACAGAAGTTTTTTTTTTTGTTTTTTTTACCTTGTTCTCGGGGCTGTTGGTCGCCCTCCCCACTGCGATTACATGAGTCTCCTTGTTTCCTCGTTCTCTGGCAGCACAGCCCGGACCGGCCTCAAACCTCTCCAGCAGACCCTGAACAGGGTGTCGAGCCCCTGCTTGACCCTCCACAGAGCAGAGCAGAACTTCACCCTGAGCTGAGGAGGGACAGGGGATGCAGGATTGTGATATATATTCTTTAATGTCAGACAGAGACACGATGGGAGCGCTATGAGCAGGCTGGCTAACTCTCTTGTTGTTTCTTTTTGCCTCTCTGGTGTGTCTGATACGAGCAGGCTGAACATGTAATCCTTGCTCCAGGGGGCTGGACACTTTTCCAGAAGAAACATTTTTTACATTCAAATAAAGACTTTGAGCTGGTGACGGCCCGAGCAGAGGAAATACCTCGTCTGATACTTTAAATGAAACAACATTTTTCTGCAGAGCGATGCTGCCAAAGTATGACCCCTTTAAACCGAGAACAATGCTGAAGGCTTTTTATTATGAGATGCTCAGACTATTGCACCTCTCCTCTAACCGTCCCTCCCAAGACAATCTGGTTTCATTCAGAGCATTGCGTCACTTTTACACTCTGCTGGCTGAAATACACAAACATGCACAAACTGGATCCAATGGACATGCCCTAAAGGGGGGGCTCCTCTGCAGTGCTCAGAAAGTGATCTGGCACCTCTCCAGCTACCTGACCAAGTTCCAGACTTGGTCCACAGCTGGACTAGAACCGACAACTTTCCTGTTCCCAACCCAAGTCCCTACAGACCGAGAGACTGCCACCCTAAAACATGAACAGTGTGCAGAGCTTTTCTCCTTTTCTTTTTGTTTTTACCTTGCTGTTTTTCAAAGTTTGTAACACTGTTTTGTTGTTGTTGTTGTTGTTGCCATCACTCTATGATCTTCAGATTCTGGGCTGCATCTCTAGAAGATGAACTATTTATTATTCTAATTTTGAATCAGGAAGTCTAACTGAAGTTCTCACCTGTCGTTCTCTTGCTGAGCAGGAGGAGACAGGAAGCGGTCCATCCAAGCAGAGACAGTGAACGCATCATGAGGGGTTCAGTGTTAGACCGAATGTGTCGACTCTTTTTACATCCTGATGAACAGAAACATCAAAACAAACACTTTGAAGCTCGTCTGTGAGCATCGACTGTGACTCCTCTTTTAATTCTTTGTTGTTGTTTTTTTTTACATTTCATGAACATCAGATACGTACAGCAAAGTCAAGTTTAATTTTAAATCACAGTATAAAACATCTCATGTTGACCGAGTGCTGTAAGACTACAAAGAGAACTGATGAACACAATCAAACATGAACAATAAAATATTAGAATCAAACAAGTTACAGCAAAGATAAAACCACAAATAGAATATGAATAATAATAATAATAATAATTTAGTCTTTTTCTGGGATTTCAAAATAAAAGTGAGTTTAGGAATGAATCAAATACTTAAGATGTGAATGATGTAATTCAGCAGAAAAACAACAACAATCTAATATGAGTACAGAGAGCTCATATATAGATTTCCTGCATGATGAGAATTTATGTTTTTGGTATTTAAATAAAAGTTTTATGTTTCTTCAGAACTTTTACTTTGGCAGACATATTTAAAAGTTAACACCTGTCGTGTTTAAAGTTTATTTCAGGAAAAGGAAACATTTCCCGGACTGAACACGAGTAGAGAAGTAGGACTCACCTGCGGCGCAGCGCGGATCCTCTGCTGATCCAGCTGCTGCTTCAGGCTCCTCTGAGCGCCACGAGCACACGCCTCCTCATTTCATAAACACACGCACACACGCACACACTCACACACACACGCACACGCACACGCACACGCAACCCCACGAGCCACACAAAAACACTCAACTGTCAGCCACTCTCGTCTCCTTCCAGCTGATGTGAGTTAACGTCCTAAGTAAGAGTCCTTTTTACGCACGGACTGAGCGCGAGTAGAAGAGGGGAGGAGGGAGGAGGGGTGAGGAGAGGAGGGAGGAGGGAGGAGGGAGGAGGGTGAGGAGAGGAGGGAGGAGTGGAGGAGGGAGGAGGGGTGAGGAGAGGAGGGAGGAGGGAGGAGGGGAGGAGGCTGGATGTTTTGACTCAATCCAAGTAGTGATGGGAGGGACCGAGGGATGGTGTGACAGAGTGGAGAGAGGCATGGAGAGCAGAGGAAGAAAAGACTCTCCAAACGTAGATGGAAACAGGAAGGAGGTGATCAGACGGAGAAGGAGGGGAGAGGAGAGGAGGGGGGGGGGGGAGGAGGAGGGGGGATCATGAGTTTGAGTGGCAGGTGAAATGTTTGGTTACAGGGGGAGCAGCTCTGATGAAGACTGAAATAAAGACAATATAATCAAATCTTTAAAACAAGTGAGATTTAGAAAAAAGTTTTAAAAAATAAAGTGAAAACAAAAAAACTCACAATAAACTAACTCTGTTTTCATCTCCATTTTGTTTTGTTGTTAATCTTTGATAAGCATCTTTGAGTTCTCAGAAAGGTGCTGTATAAGTCTAATTATTATTATGTGTGTGTGTGTGTGTGTGTGTGTGTGTGTGTGTGTGTGTGTGTGTTAGATACCACTGGTTGTCCTCAGGAAATGACAAAAGTGTAAAAAAACCTGCTGCTTTAATCTCCCATTTTTCTTCTTTCCTAGAAAACAGCATCAACAACCCCCCCCCCCCCACACACACACACACACACACACACCACACACACACACACACACACACACACACACACGCCCTCTCTCCCCTCTGAGATTTAATGACATGAGAGATATTTCAGATATTTCAGATTTTTCTGATATTTCTTTTCAGGCCGTCGAGTAAAAATGTTTTTCCAAAAAACCATCTGCGTCCGAGTTCTGAGTTTTGGTCGGAGGATAATTTGATGCCATTAAAATTCTATTTCCCATGAGGCCATTTTTTGATTTGACATCGTGCCAGCATACCGGTCAGAGAGAGAGAGAGAGAGAGAGAGAGGGAGGGAGGGAGAGAGAGAGAGAGAGAGGGAGAGAGAGAGAGAGAGGGAGGGAGAGAGAGAGAGAGAGAGAGAGAGAGAGAGAGAGAGAGACAGAGAGAGACAGAGAGAGAGAGAGACAGAGAGAGACAGAGAGAAAGAGAGAGAGAGAGACAGAGACAGAGAGAGACAGAGAGAGAGAGAGAGAGAGACAGAGACAGAGAGAGAGAGAGAGGGAGACAGAGAGAGACAGAGAGAGAGAGAGAGAGAGAGAGAGAGAGAGAGAGAGACAGAGAGAGAGAGAGAGAGAGAGACAGAGAGAGAGAGAGAGAGAGAGAGACAGAGAGAGAGAGAGAGGGGTTAGAGAGAGAGAGAGAGAGAGAGAGGGAGAGACAGAGAGAGACAGAGAGAGAGAGAGACAGAGAGAGAGACAGAGAGAGACAGAGAGAGAGAGAGACAGAGAGAGAGAGAGACAGAGAGAGAGAGACAGAGATAGAGAGAGACAGAGAGAGAGAGAGAGACAGTTATGGCTTTGTCCACTCCGTCTGTTTGACGGTTGAAGTTCCTGTGGAGGAGTTTCTTAAAGCAACAAAAACCTGTCACTGTGGGGTCATTCAGAGTTATCTGGAGGCACTGCAACTTAAAAATGTCGTGCACTGATTTGCTTTGCTTTTCCTCAAGCGGTGCGATTCGGCCTTTAATGGAGGTTCTTCTTAAAAAGGATCGTGTGTGTTCAAAGTTTTACTCAGTTTGTTGAAGGCAGACGAGTCGTTCACAGGTCGGAGATCTGCGTATGAGGTCAGCTTGAAGTAGAGAAGCAGTGAACGTCTTTAACTACGGGTGTAAACTCCCTCACATCAGGACGTGGGTCGGACACATTTGTCTCCAACTCTTCATACGCTGGGCAACAATTATGTCAGATTTTATATTAAACTCTTTCTGTGATTCTTCACACTTAAATGTATAAATCAAGTATATCCTCTGAAAATAACTCTGTGAGTCATGACTGTCTACAATGGGTGTAACACCCGAGTCCCACTGTCTGTGATGTTTTCAGAGTTTTCAGAGTCATATCTTCACTTTGTTTACATCGCCAGGACGGCCGGCTGACTCCTCCCCTCGTGTATAAAAGTTGTTTAATTGAGGGACTAGAGAAAAGAAGAATAACATACTGTACTCACTGCTTAACTGTGTTTCTAGATCACGCTCATTTCAGGTAAATTTACATGCAGTGTGAAGATACCAGCATAATAAAGATCGCTAGCATTCGCATGCTAACACAACAATGCAGCGCAAGTTGTTTTGGTTTCATGCTGGAGCTCAAGGGCGACATCTGCTGGATCAAAAAATCACATATAAAGCCTTTAATCAGGATCCCTTTTCAAAATGTTTTCACCCAAAAATAACCGTAACTAAGCTCAGCCATCATCACGTCTTTGTACACTCATTGATTCAGCGATGGCGAGATATCGATGTCCCAGTCTGTGAGGTCACATTGTGTTTCGGCGTTGCAGAAGCGGGAGCTCCACATACACACAGAGTCAGACATGATACTACCTCTGAAGACGGGTCAGGAGGGGGATCACTTTGTCCCTCCATTACTCCTCTATGACATTCAGATTGAGGGGGGAAACGTCACAGGGGCGTAAATGAAACGTCAGTCTGAGTAGAGCGATTATCATTTATTTTTTTGCTTTTTTTTTTTTTAAATGTCTCCGGTTTGTCTTTAAAAGTTTCCACACGAGAGTGAACAACCCAAGTTTCTTATTCGTTTTCTGATCGTTTCTGTTTGCAGCTTTTTGAGACTGCCATCTTGATTTTTTTTCTCCTCCCTGGTTGATTCTGAGAATAAGTCCAGAGATGTGATCAGTTCTGGACATTATTACTAAAAACCAGCTGGGACTCACTCGGCCCCGCCCCCCACGCCCCCCCGCCCCCGCCGCCTCTCCTCTCAGAGATGGAAAAATATTCAGCAAACGGCCGCAGATAGGCAAGACGTTTGAAGGACTCGAATTACATCAAAATTATTATTCTTCTGCAGTCCATCAATCCAGTAACCAGCTGTCCCCCGCGGGTCAGACTGACCAAATTAAATTAACATCTGTCTGCACTTCTGTGGAAATGTGGAATTATCTGAGAAGTTTTAGTTAGAAGTTAGAACGCTCAGAACTTTGTCTGGTTTAACATCATGACGAAGAAATAATATCGCAAAAGGAGGTGGCTGTGAAGTCCATCCATCCATTATCTTTACCACTTTCCCCGTTCTGGGTGGAGCCTACAAACACCGCAGGTCACACCTTCACATTCACACACTGATGACAGAGGTCGCTGTTTAAAGTGACCATCAGAAGTAATCCATTCATACACACTCACATGCAGCTGAAGAAGCAGAAGGAGCAACTTGCTTTTAAGTGTTTTACCCAAGAACACATCGGACATGTAGCTGCAGGAGGTGGGGATCGAACCCCTGACCGACCCAAGTATTATTATAACATGAAAGTGATGAACGCTGGTTGGAAGGCGCTCTGTAGTTTGTTGCCTTGGACGCCAACAGACGCCGTCAGAGCATCAAACTAACAAGAAGAGCTGCTGGCTTATCAGATAGAGCAGGGAGGGGTCACAGCAAGGGCCACATTCATTTAATTCTCACCGCCAGGGGGCCAAATTGTAGAATACAAAAAACGATTACAGTCAATTATGTCTCAAATTTAACTCTACATATACCAGTGATCAAATATTATTATGGACATATTTCTGGTTTTCATGATTTCATGGCAGATTTTGTCATGTTTTCTTCACGTTTCCAATTAATTAATATGTAAAAGTTAATCTGAGGGCCACGTTGAGGGTTGATGGGGCTGCATGTGGCCCCCGGGCGGCCAGTTGCCCACCCCTGAGATAGAGGCACTAGATTAAATCCCTGAGGGGACTAGGATTGACTAGATTGACCATAGAGCCACGCTGCAGGGAAAACAAACCCCATGTGAAATCTGTCTTTGTCTCAAAACCGGCGTCGAGATAATTTATTTTTTTAAGGTCTCGGTCTCGTGTCAGAATCGCAAACATTTTGACTCGGTCTTGACCCGGTCTCAAACTGGGCGGACTTTGGATTTTAAATCAAGACCGGTCAAGACCACCACTGCTAGGCTTCTTTCTGATGTCATCACTGTGGCCTTTCCTAAACAACAAATAACTTCATTTGTAATTAGATTTTTATCCCCCGGTTACGGCCGCAACCTTTCCGGTGTTCGAGTCTTCAGGAGTGACACGCCCCCTGAACACAAGATGATGATTTTTCTGTGATATTTATGGTTTTGTCTCGGAGCACTCTGGTCTCGAGTAGGTCTTGGTTAGTGTGGTAATGACTACAACACAATCTTAAGATATACCTAATGTGTAAATAGATTTAAGGAAAGTCACGACTGAGAGCACGATCACTTTCCACTTCTTTGGATAAAAAAACAAAAAGAATCTCCGCTCCGTGTGTGTTGGGTTCACATCTTTACTGAGTCACAGTTCCAACACATTTCACCAGCAAATGACAACAGGAGGAAACACAAATGGAAACAAAACTATAAATCACAGAAAAAAGCTTTTTCATCATTGAAAACTGATTGTAGTTAAAATCTGTTTTTTTTTTTTTGTACCGAGACAGAAAAAGAAAAAGACGAAGAGGATGAACAGACACACAAAAAACAACTCCAGACTCCTCTCTATCGTCTCACAGTAAGCAGAGTTTTCTTCCCCCTCTGGCTCCCCCTTGTGTTCATGTTCGATTGGTGCATGATTGCGGCTGATGTGGATACATTTATGACTTGAGGCAGGGACAGCGAACACAGCGACACACTGACAGCAGAGACACGAGACAACAGAGACACACTGATCCTGTAATCACTTTTCACTCCAGGACACGTCGGCTCTCTCTCTCTGAGGGGGCTGAGTGCCATTTCTGATTTTTTGTTTTTCTCTCTGTGTTGCCAGGTAGAAAACACAGCAGCGTCCGTCCGTCTCTCTCATAATCTGGATTATCGTTATGACTCCCACTTCCTCTAAAAGCCTCGCCGTGTCACAGATCTGCCGACCTCTGGCAGATCTGTGACACCGCACATGTTTGCATCACAGCATCAGGCTCCGCTGATCCCCCGTTCACACTCGCTCGGTGCCGTCTGTCCCGTCATCCCACCGCAAACACACAAACACATTCAGAGAGGTGGAGTCATCCCCTCCCCCTCTCCAGTACAGTACAGAGAGTCAGCCGTCACTCCTCCTCCGTCTCTTTTTCAGAGTCCGCGGCCGGCAGCTTGATAACCCTGTGACTCTAGCAGAGGTCAGAGATGTAATCAAAATCCTTAAAGTGGTCCTGTTCCTTGCGGGTGAGGACGCGGCGCTCTCGAGGTGGCGTGAGGGCGGGAGGCTCGGCGGTGAACTCGACGTCGAAGTTGCTGATGTCTACTTTTGATCCGATGGTCGGGACAAACGGGGGCAGGACCTTCCTCTGGAGCAGAGCTTCCCAGTCCGTTCCCTAAACGAGAACCAGATCAAGTTTTTCATCAAGCTGCACTCAGCGTACTCTACAGCAGACCTCGTCACCCTGAGGCTAAATGTGTCAAATTAATCCACCATAACTCGGCCAAATTATCTTTAAAACAACACAAATTTATTTAAAAAAACAGAATAAAAATGTTTCCTGATATTGTATTTTTTTTCTTTTTATTCACAACGCCATGCTGCCATTTTCTCTCCCAGTGACCGTAGAGTTTTAAACCGGCTAACATTCTTAGTTGACGGGTCGTTACATTGGTTGTCAAGATGATGATCATTAGTGTATTATTGGGCGATTTGGATTTTATACAATACTGTGCAAATGTCTGAGGCCGCCGTTAGATCTGTTGTTGTTTGAAAGGTCCAGGTTGGAATTGATTTAAAATTTCCAGCATGAGAACGATCCAAAACACAATGCTACTGCAGTGAAATGATATTTGGAGCAGCCGATAAAACACAGACAGTCATGGCCACATTAAAAACTCACCCTGAAGAACGGCTGCTTCTTGACCTCTTCAGCATCCTTTTCTCCGGAGCCGAGCCGTCTCTCTGGATTCCTTCTCAACAACTAGGAACCGAACAAAATCAACAAGAAACAAAAAGATAACCAAACATGAATTGAACTTTAGTTAAATCGTCTGTTTCATTCAGGAACATGAAGTGACAGAGGTATTTTGAGTATCAGTGAGGACACACTCACCCGCCTCATGATGCCGATGGCCTCAGTGGAGAGGAAGCGAGGGTAGCGCACTTCATCGTTCACGATACTGTCGAACACCTCCTCCTCATCATCACCGGGGAACGGGGACTGAAAGACAACAGCACAGTTTCACTTTTATACAATGTTACGTCTGGCTCCCTTCAGACTTAAAGGAGCAGAGAGAGAGAGTTTTGTGATTTTTAATGACCGGAAGAGTTTTAATTTAGAGTTTCAAAAGATCATTTTAAAAGCTATGAACTCTGTATTCTTACCTCACCGACCAGCATCTCATAGACGAGCACCCCGAGCCCCCACCAGTCGACGGCTCGGGTGTACGACGTGTCTGTCAGCACCTCAGGGGCCAAAAATTCAGGGGTCCCACAGAAAGTGCTGGTCCTGTCCCCAAAGCCCATACCTCAGTGAGAGAATGAAACGGAGGGTTAAAGACTGCGGGTGTGGGAGGAGAAATGAAAGATGAAGATCACAAATAGAGGGGAGGACATTCACCTTCTTTACAGAGACCAAAGTCTGCGATCTTCACAAAACCCTCCGTGTCCAGCAGCAGGTTGTCCAGTTTAAGATCCCTGACAAACACAAAGAAGAAGAATCAAATACTGAGGGTTGAGAAGAGAGAGAGGGAGAGTCATGCTGTGTGGAATATAAAGACAGGAACGATCGATGAAACTCACCGATACACGATCTTATGTTCATGAAGGAACTGCAGACCCAGAACGACACAGGCCGAGTAGAACCTGCCGATAAACAAAGAACAGAAAGAACTGAATATACAATGGATAAAGGTCCGATTAAGCATGATATTTAATTGAATATGCCTGCTTTGAGGAGTATCCCGATGATGACAGAAGAAGAAACAAACCACTTCATCTATAAAAGTTCACATGAGCTAAAGCTAAAGTTAGGTACGGACACATAATGAAGCAGTTCAGGTAAAAGGAAATCAGGTCGTCTGTTCAGTGGCGATTCAAGAGTCTGATGGGGGGCATCGGCAAAAATAAATTGCGCCCTCCAACCAGCGTTCAACACCGTTGTGTCCCCCCGCGTTCTCCTCTTCCTCTTTTCTTTAAAATCTCCTATAGACGGATAATTCCTCTCTTCTTTTTGCTTTGTTGACTTTCAACATGTAACGCTCAGGAGGGCAACGAGAGTGACTGCTGTCAGATGGGGCCCCCTTAGGGAGGTTGCCTGCTTTCTGCCCCGCTGCTGGTTTGGGGGCCCCAAGCAGTTGCCCGCCATGCTGTTGACAAGCAGCGCCTCTGTATCTGTTGCTCTAAAGCAAACACAGCGCATACTGAGGGCTTGAAGCTCAGATTACTTGTAAAAAGTTTATCGTTATTTTGCGTTTGGATTCCTTTTTCAAGGCAAGTTAATTTAAAGATTCATACAAAGAGCGACTCAAAGTCTAAAAAACAGAACATTACGTACATCATTGAGCAAAAATAACACATTGAAATACTAAATATTTCTTGAAAAAATAACCATTGAAACTACAATTCTGTTAAATCAAAACAACACTCCTGTTTAGGCCGTAATCTTCCTCCATTACAAATGTCTTAGCGGAGTTCCTCAAGGTTCAGTGTTTGGCCCACTGTTGAAGAATCGTCTCCAGTTCTTTGAAGCGTAGGGACTGCGACTAGTTGATAAAATCGGGTAAAGTATACTAAAGTATAGAGCTTCAATTTTCATTTTAGAAACGATAAAGAGGACCCCCTGTGCAAAGCAAACCTTCGTACTCAGGTACCGGTCGGTTGCAGGAACATACAATTAGAAAATAAATAATCTGCCACACACTGAAAATGCTACAGGCGACAATAAAGTCACAGTTAAGTCATTATCAGTGTGTGGCAGAATATTTATTTTCACCTTATTTAGTGGAACGCCAATGACTGCACAGACACAGACATGTATAGCATGGATCTTTCCAAGAAGACACCTCCACCTTGTCTCCTCTCTTTAACACACACAGTACAACACACACACACACACACACACACACACACACACACACACGGCGCAGAACTCACACAGCACGCGGCTCTGCAAAGACGTCGGCGTGTATGTGCATCATGAGGTCTCCTCCCGCCGTGTACTCCATGACAAAACACACATGTTCTGGCGTCTGGAAACATGCAAACAGGTTGACCAGGAAGGGGTGGTGGGAGCCGTTGACGGTCTCAAAGATCCGCTTCTCACACATCAGACTGGAGACAGACAGAGGGGGAGGGGTGTGTGTGTGTATCAGACAGAAACTTTACAACATGGAACATGATGTGATGAGATTTATCGGCAGCTGACACTTTGCTCGAGTTACCTTTCCACTTCATCTCTCGCAACGATGTCTCCCTTCTTCAGGGCTTTGATGGCGTACAGGCTGCCTGTCCGTTTGTACTCTGACAGTAACACCTGAAGACAATTCGATTTAAGTTACTGTACACAAACCTCATTAAGCCACAAGTAAATTAACATGATGATACAGAAGACCATAGTGGCCAATGATAAATGCGGCTCAAACTTCTCTCTCTCTCAATGACCACAAAATGTGAAGAGGTGGCTTTATTTATGATTCAACATCCCCGTCACACAATAAATCGATAAACCATCCAAACACCAACAATAAAAACCATCACACATCCTCATCTTTAAAATCTACTAAACAAACTTTGTTGATTCATTCATGGATCCTAGAAACAGACAAAACAGTAACTTTTGTTCATACAGTGAGGAATAAAGCTGGAGTACCTTTCCAAAATGTCCCCTCCCGAGCACGGCTATCATCTTAAAGTCCTGCAGGCAGAGAAGACTCCCACTGGATCTGAGAGACCGATTAGAGGCAGATCATGAGCTGTGCATGCAACATAAGATAACATAATGTCATATCTAAATGTGTGCCAAATACATTCAGCAACAGCTCGTTTCAAATGTGTGTTCCACAAGGGATTTGGAGTGTCATACGCTTTAATCCACATTAATGATGATTCATCTTTTAGAGAGGCTCCAACACAGGACCATATTGTGAGCGGGGGTGAGCTTCTGATGTCAAGCCGAGTTGGCCATATTGCAAAATGATATACTGGTGTGTGTCATGTGTACATGTGAGAGAATAAACAGGTGCTTGTGTGTGTTCACCTGCGTAAAGAGTTCTGGGAGAGCGATCTGGTTGGCTGCTCGCGAAGAGGGACATCCGGTGTCGACAGGGGTTCAATGATTGGTGTCTGTTCCTGTAAAACACATCAGAGAGACGAAAAGGGAAGAGAAGGGAGGGGGAGAGACGTACAGGGAAAGCAAAAAAGAGTAAGAAAAGAGGAGAACACTGGTTGCTAACATCTGTAACAACCTTCAGTCAAATAGACAAACATCGAAGCTCATCGTGGATGCCTGCCAGTTCACGGCGGGCTAACAGCCTCCCTCCACAGCTAATTACTTCTGTAAAAAACATCAGTGTAATTAATCCTTTAATACTTCAGCCCGGTTGATCACACCATCTGCCACAGGACAGCCGAGGCTCTCTGTGGGCTCTCTTGTGTTCTGCTTTGCTCTGGTCTCTAAAATCTGAATTTTACTTCATGGCACGAATAGAACAAAAACACTGTGATGTAACATGCTGCGAAAAAGCGACTCCGTACTGTGAAGTAACTGAATCTATAAGAACACGTTCAGAAAGATAAACTTTGAGTTATTTTAAGATGAGTAAAATATGAAATAAAAATGAAAAAATGTTACCTGAGGAGTTCCTCAAGGCTCAATGTTTGGCCCATTATTGTTTACTTTATGCATCTTTTTTATATGAGATTTGAACTGAGTAGTAACTCCTTAACATGATGATAGCTATATTATTTATGTAATCATTCAAAATGTTAGACGTTATACCTAAAGGCCTGGGACTTCATTATGTTAAAGCCAAGATAACAATCTTGGCTTTAACATAATTTATAACTAAAAACTCATCACAGGAGCTTTGAACTTAAAGGCTTCAGATCTTTTGGTATTCATCTTTAAGTTGTTTAAAAAGAGTCATGATTTAAAAGGAATACGTTTGGCACTAAACTGAAACTGTGCAGACGACATTTAAATCTGAGAGTTTAAGGAAATGAATGAATGAGTAAACCAGCAGATCAGATCTCTGGTTTGGTTTGGTTTAGACTTCTGGACAATTTAAAGTTTTCTCTGATGTTACTTTTGGTATCTTCAGGAAGTATCACCTAAAAAGGCTACAAGCTAAGAGCTGTAGCTTCTCCCTGAGTGCATCTTCAAGTTGAATTTACTTATATCCCTTCTCTCTCTAAAGTCTCTTCCTCTCATCAGTTCTCCTCGTGTGACCTCTCCTGCATTACGGCCCTCTGCAGATTGTTGTCTTCACGCTGGGAAACTAACACAGATTTGGAGCTGATCAAATTAAAGCTCCCCTCCATCCAATTGTGTCTCATTAAAGCTGTCTGAGTTTTTCAGTTCTACATTGTTATTCTCTCTCTCTCTCTCTCTCTCTCTCTCTCCTGCCAATTCACTGTTTGTCTTTGATTTCACAGATCAGCGGAGTATGACTGGAGCACTGTTTCCACGCCAAAGTCTTCAGGTCAGAAGGGAGCAAAATAGTAACATGATAGTGTCAAGATGCCGATCTTTTCCATCGGTCTGAAAATGTCCCGTCTGCTTCGCTCTTACTCACCAAAGGAGCAGGTGTGTCCACCACCTCCCTCCTGTTCTCAGCTTTGGGAGGAGACTCGCTGTCTAGGTTCAGCTTCTCCACAGAGATCTCTCTAAAGTGCAAACAAACATAAAAAGAAAACAAATGTTGGGTTTCTCAGATCAACAGAGAAACCAAAAAATCAAGCCACATATAAAAGAAAACAAATGTTGGGTTTCTCAGATCAACAGAGAAACCAAAAAATCATAAATGATATTTAAAAGAAATATTAAAGCCAGTTTGTTGAAGAGATATAATGAAATGTGTTGACAAGGTGTTTTGTTTGTTTGGTGTTGTGATGACACAAACATTAGTTTGTGATCTGCTTTAAATATAAAATGAATTATTACCAAGGACCTACTAGGGGGCTGTGAGTGGCATACCCTCGATACATACCCTGCAATGTGTGTGTTTGTGTTGCCTGAGAAACTCGGTGTGTAGGCAGGTGCGTTGCCTCCGCTGGGGATTGCATTCCTGAGGAGGCGGACCCAGGTAGCGATGTCGACGTTCATCTGACGAGCTCGCAGGAAGGCTTTACCTGAAGCACGAGAAGAGAGAAGAGAAGCAAGAGAATAAAACCGGATAAATACAAGAAAGAGGGAAGTTGCTGCTACGTTTCATTATCTAGATCTCATTTTTTTGACACTTTTGTAGCAGAAATGCAGCTTCAAGGGTTTAACCAATCCGAAAAACAAGATTAGTGTCATGTACCTTGTTTATAAAAGCTGTTTTAGTCGAGGACTAGAGAGAAGAACATACTCACTGATTATTTGGATATTAGTAAGAGTTTTTAGATCACGCTCATTCTGTGTCAGTTTATGAAATGAGAAGTAAGAATGCACAAATCTGAGCGACGCAAAAAAGGGACTAAAAGAGTTCTCGTCTTTATGCTTATTTAAAAAGCCAAATACATTGAAGTAGCATTGGGGCAAAATTCACAAGACTGCAGGTGGTCTTAAGTGATCTTAACGGGGAGTTTATAACTGGAGAATTAGCAGTGTAGCTTTATCCCTGCTCATAAAGGGTTAAAAAGTCAGAGAAACTAAGTTACTCTCTTTCTTCTTGTTCTTGTAAAAAAGCTGCAGATCTTTAATGACCTGAAGAAAGATCCCTAAAGGTGCGTCTGAGTAGCTCACTTTTTGTTTCCTCGTCTTTTTCAGCATCATGTTTCACTCTAATGTTCATACTAACGATGTGTACCTGAGGTGGAAAACGATGCCCTCTCTCTCTCTTTGCTGACGTGGGACAGATGGACCAAAGCCTCCCGTAGCTTTCATGACGTGAGACGGCTGAGTTCGGCTGCATGACCAGCGTTTGCACGTCCAGTAAATGTTTGTAAAACCCAGTTCCAGAAAATACCAGAAGCCATTTATAATCTTTTTGGAGCAGCACTTAACGACTCTTTCGGCTTATTACTCCTTTAAACACGCTCTGCACACGTGCACAGAACGACTCAGAAACAAACATGAGAAGAAGAAGTGGTAACGAGGAAGGCTGTTAGAATTATATTATTTCACCTGACCTTTGACCTCTTATCACTATGAATTCATGTGTTTCTTTTCCTTAAACTGCATTCAGCCACCTTTACATGATAGCCATGTTGCTCCAATCTTGTTTCCAAATTCTGCTTCTTCAATGGAAACTCGTTCATATTGGTGTTCATTTGGTTTAAAAATTCTCTTTTTTATAAACCGTTCATCGACTTTAATACATTTGAGAGGAACTTTTAACAGTTTTACTCATGAGGTTTAGTTTACTCGCTGTTGAGAAGAATTCTTAGTCCAAGAAAAACCAAACAGGAGCTCTCACCTAACTTTTTAATCTTAACCCTGATGATGTCACAGTGATGTCATCAGTGTAGTGTTTGAGTCAAGACAACACTAACCGAGACCAAGACATACCCGAGACCAGATTGTCAGAGACCGAGACAAGACCAAGAAATCTAGAGATCGAGGCCGAGTCAAGACTAAGACCATATGTATCAATAAATGATAAATATGTTTGGACGCTTGAACATACCGTGCTGTTTGGAGAAGACCTTCTTCTGCCTCTGCAGTCGCCGTCCTCTCTCGATTACAGGGTTGAAGAAAGTCACCTGAAACAAAACGTTAAAACGACACATTTCTCAATATGCACACGTTTGAGACATTCCCAATGTGTCCGTCTGTGTATGCTGGAACGTCTCATGATGGTGTTCAACTTTTTATTGTTGCTTGCCCTTTTGTTTATGGATGCAGCTTGTTGTGTGTGTGGTGTGTGTGTGTGTGTGTGTGTGTGTGTGTGTGTGTGTGTGTGTGTGTGTGTGTGTGTGTGTGTGTGTGTGTGTGTGTGTGTGTCCTGTACCTCGGCCAGCAGCAGCCCCTGCGGCTCCAGCTCCAGCTTGACTCGATGTCTCTGGTTGTCCAGAAACTCTTCCAGCTTCAGATATTTCAGAGCACACAGGGAGCGGTAATCTCTCCAGTACACCGCGATCTCCATCTCTCTGGACTAACCACACAAATAACACCAAGGATGAAAAAAAACTACATTTAATATCAGGTCCAGATTCAAAAAAGTGCATCATGTCCACCAGATTTTACAGTGAATCCTGCATGTAGGCAGGTTGTGTTAACTTCAAACTCAAGGTGAACAATGTAAATAAAAACAGACTGAGGGGGTGGGCTGTGTCTTACTCTCTCCAGCTCCACAGTGAAGGTCTGCTCCCAGGCCTGCTCTCCAACTGTTTTCCAAAGTGTTTGACCCACAACGGTGTTCTCCAGCTTCAGCACTGAGCTCACCTCCGCTGGAAAAACAAACAAACACACACAAATAGACTTTTTCTTCTTCTGTCCAAAAACTCTCCAGGTTCACTCAGAACTGCAGTCCAAAATGGATTTTGATGGATTGATAGAAGGGAGATGTGGTACCTTAAAAAAGGCTTCTAATGCAACCAAGAAGTGTGAAGAAGAAGGAATGAGCCATCTAAAGGTTTTTGTTAATGATAAAAAAAAAAGATGGAACTTACTGGAGAGCTCCTCGTTCTTGCCGGGGATCTTCAGGCTCATGCTGCTGGTGCTCCGGCTGTAGAGGCCGCTCAGTTTGAAGGACGAACGTCCGTCACCAGCAGTAAAAGAAGGAAGAACCACCGGGGTCCCTCTGCTGCGCCCGGGTACGACCTCCAGGAGCCCCAAACAGCCCAGGAGACGCACCTGAAGAGTACCTGGAAGGACAAGTTATCCATTAAAATAAAACTTAGCTTAAAACAGATAATACATCACCTGGATGTGTCTCATTACAAAGAAAAATATGCCCTGAAGGTAAATAAAAGATCTAATTAAATGTGTTTACCTGTGAGTGGGGATGGTTTGCTCAGCGTGCTGTACTGATTGTGGACATAGGGGTTGCTGTAACGGGAGCTAAAGGCCGAGGAGGAGGCCAGCACCAGCTCCTCCTTGATGAGGCAGGCTTTGGGGTGATCCTCGGGAAGCTCCACCAGCCTCTGCTCCAGAGAACATCTGAGCAGGTCCAGACGCTGGGACGACTCGCTCAGACCGCACTGAGCCTGCAGGAATCAGATAACAACAAATGTGTTAAGTGACTGAATGTTAAGCTTAAGAAAAAGCTTAAAACATGAAAAACAAAGACTATGGGATAGTATGGTTAGAAATAGGGGTTTTATGGTCATTCAAAATAAAGTTAAAGAATACAGAAAGAGAGAATTACGCAGATCTCACCAAGAGTCTAAACTAGAAAATCAAAACCTGTGTTGAGAATTTAGTGTGAAAACAAAAGTAAATCATGTCAGCTTAGCACAAAGAGTGAAATCAGGTGAAATCAGAAAGCTTGGTTCAGTCGAAAAAGGGCTACAAAAACCAACTTATCTGTATCTGCTGAGCTCCCTAATAAATACATAATGCCTCATTAGGACCTTGAACCTTTGGAGCCTGGAGTTTGTTGTTTTTCTGTTTCATGTCAGGTGAAGTTGCTGTGGCTGTAACGTCAAAATTATCGTAGCCAAGGGAGCGACCTCTTTAGCAAGAAAGCTAAAAAAAAAAAAAAAAAAAAGCGATTTTCCTCCAAAGCTGCTGAATTAACGCCATACTATGACCTTTCTATTCATGAGGGGTGAATCAAACAATCAAATAATCAATCAGTTTTTATTGTATTGGACACCCAAGCCCTTCCAGAGAGGGGGCGTGGTCAGACACAGCTCATTTACATATTTAAAGGTACAGACTCAGAAACAGCCTGTTCTGAGCAGGGCTGAAATAGAGGGGTTTATAGACATGATCAAATACAGGATCAGAGTGGATTTAGAACAAGAAACTTCACACACATGTTTTGAGGAGCTCTGAGACTTATTTACACTGAAGAAGAGGAGGAGGATATGTCACCTTTAAAGCCTCCTACAGACTGTGCAACACAGATCTCATAATGTTGAGATCAGTCATCTTTCATCCTTTCTCACAGACCAACATTTTTGAGCCACGACCCCCGATATTGCCACGACTGATCCTCTTTCGTCTGGGACGGCCCAAAAAAATGGTACAGTCTGTACCCGGCTTAAGACGTTTCACCTCTGCTCTGAAAAGCTTTTCTGAAATATAAGCCTATGTGGATTTCTCTGTTAAAACTAGTTAAGCCCCCGTTCTCACTGTAGACCATGTTACCATAACGACCCCCTGGACCACGAAGAGTGTTAACGACTCCCGGTTAAAACTAGGTCAACAGCTCAGCTAACAACGCCCTTTTGACCATCCGGGTCATTAACATTTCAGTTCAGAAGTGAAGAAGCCTTCAGAGAGGTGAGGGATCAGGGTCCAGGTGTCTTTTGATCGAGCCATGAGTTCCCATGACCACGATGACTGAGAACGTAAACAGTACAATTTAAGATCTATATAAATATGGACAATTTAAACTGGTTTGATAAAAATATAGATTGCGATGCTCTCTTGTTCGACATCAGTAGCTGAAGCAGGAGCACTTGTTTATTAGCAAATATTCCATCCATTATATTCTAGATTTCACTTAGCAGACTCTTTTATCCAAAGCGACGTACATCAGAGAGTAAGAACAACACAAGCAAGGATCTAGAAAAAAGGGAACAATGTGAGTAAGAGCAAACGATCAGCTTTGAGTCTGATTGGACACACAGGTGCTGACAGGAAGTGACCAGAGGCAAAGCACAACATTGAGGGCAGTTCTTGAGAGCTCTAATCAGTATAGAAACCATCTTATAAGTCATCGTTATCAAACAAAAACCATCGTCATTACCATCATCATCATCAATAATATGGAGACCATCATCATTAAGTTAGTAGGTATTCATGAAAGAGCTGGGTCTTTAGCTTTTTCTTAAAGGTGCAGAGGGAGTTTGGAAGTTCATTCCACCACCGGGGGGCGACAGAGGAGAAGAGTCTAGTCAGAGACTTAGGACCCTGTTGTGAAGGTTGGATAAGACGCCTTTATATATATATATATATATATATATATATATATTTTTTTTTTCCGCTTTTTTCCTATACGGGGTTGCAGGGAGGCTGGAGCTGATCCCAGCTGTCATTGGACGACAGGTGGGGGTTACACCCTGAACTGTTCATCAATCACATCAATTAACCTAACGAGCATGTCTTCGGACTGTGGGAGGAAGCCCGCTGCAGACGCCACACAGAGAGGCCGTGTGCTTGTTAACAGTTCTAGTCTGTGTTACGGGGGTTGATGGTCAGTCGTGACAAATGCAGCTCTAAGATCAAACGAGATGAGCACAGAGAGAAGTCCGACGTCTGAAGCCGGTAGATCATTACTAACTTTTTAACAGCCTCAGAGCCGTGGTGGAGTCTAAATCACTGACTGAAAATCCTTAAATAAACTGTTGTCATGGAGACAGTCACATGAACTGAACAGCCACCATGTTCTCCAGGATCTTTTGCAGAGTGACACTTCCTCCTGACGTGTTTCTTGGTTCTGCATCGACCTGAACATTTATAATCATCAGAGTATAAACGGCCCAAACATTTCATCATAATCATTGAATTAACAGATCCGTCAGACCTCGGCGATGGCTTTCTTGTCTTGGACTTTTCCCGCGCCCAGCAGTCGCAGGATGTTCTTGGCTCCCTCGGCCATGGCGTGCTCCACCCGGTAGTGATGCCAGAGCTCCTCCACACGTAGCTCCACCCCACACATGTCTGGCTTACCTGGAGAATAGAGTCAGGTTTATTCTACAGTTTATGAACAGAGTAAAGAAACATGCACAAATTTATTTTGGAGGGGAAGGGGCCTTTTTTTTCTGTCGTATAAATCTGTAATGTTAGCTGCTAGCTCCTTTGTAGCTAAGCATTGTGAGGTAGCAAGTAGCTGGATATCAACACTAGTTTTTCTCTGACTGTATCTTAAAGAGACGGGACAAATAATCAAAACAACAAGAAACCGTCTGTCTGACATGAGTGATACAATTTTACTGAATAGCCAGCCGGGGCCAAATGTTGATATTTTTATTCAAAACAGATTTCCCTGCCGATTTGACCCCTCGCACCTCAACTTCATGCCTCCTCAAGATGGTGCTTATGACATGAATGAGGGTCATGTGAACAGAATTGAATGGGCCAAAGAATAAGAAGACAGCAGGCAAATGTCAGACAGCGCTGAAAAGAAGTAAAAGGACCGAGCGTACTAAAAGGTGTGAAACTGACATCAAGTTGCTGTGAATAAAGAATCCTGCACTTTACTCTTTTGGAGCATTTAATATTGTTAAGTTTAAGGACAAATATGTAAAATATCTACTGGATTAAATCATTAAATGACCGTGAAAAATGGAGAGAGGTTAGAACGAAGGCCGACAAAGACAGGCTAAACACTGAAGCTTCAGAGTCCACCACATGGTGACCTGAGTGAGCATCCACTCTACAGAGGAGGGGGGAGACAGCTCTCTACAATGTTTAGAATTTAGACTGCAGTACCATTTTAAACACTAGGGGTTAGAGTTACATATGGCTCCTTTAATCAGTTAGCTAATAATTTTTCCAGTGTGTTGTTTAGCGGTGAAATTAAAACATTTATTATCAAGTTATTTCGACTTGAATTTCACCCTGAAATAAAGTATGACATCATAAATGTGCTGCTATGTGAACATGGTGAAAAATTAAACACTGAATTTGTCTAACATAATTTAAAGTACATACTTTAAAGAAAGTTAAATTGCACAGAAACAGAGAAAGTTTTTTTTGGTTCTCTGCTGCATGACGTATCGAGTGGTTTATGGAACGAGTGTTGTATGAAAAATGTAAATTCAGGTTGTCGTTTTTTGTTTTGGATTTTGAAAATTTAAAAAAATCAGAGAATCGAAAAAGACCAAGTGCTTTGAGTTTTCTGTTGTATCTTTCATCACAAGAAGTACACTGATTTACACAACGGAGACTTGGATTCTGATTTCACCCTGAAATAAAGTATGACATCATAAATGTGCTGCTATGTGAAACATGGTGAATTAGAGGTGTGGTTTTTCTGAAACAGTCAGCTGGGTTTCCTCTCCACGCTCTCTGCTGCTCGGAGCCTTTTCTCTCTTTCATCTCTGACTCCTTCCTCCCCTCGGCTCTCGCTCTGTCGTCACCTCTCTGACTCAGACCTTTCAGTCTCACTCCCTTCCTGGCTCCCTGCATCTGTCCTGCCTCCTCTCTAACCTCTGTTAAATGAGCCGTGGCTTTTAGCTGTTGGGCAACATCAAGGGGGATGCAGGAACATCAATAAGGCTCTAACCTGAGCCAGTGAGAGGTCTATAATGGACGACGTGTGCATGTGTGTGTGTTGACTGGAAGGCCGTACACTGTGAAGTTCTGAAGCGAGAATTGATCCATTACAACCCACATCATAAAATATTCAGTGTTTATAAGCTTAAAGATCGACAGGTGGGATGAAGAGGGGAATAGATGGACGAGAGCGAGGATAAAAAACTAAGGCATTATGGGTACTTTGGTTGTCCTCGGACTGCTCCGTGGCCTGCATGGCCTTTCGGATCTGCATGCGGATGATGTCGATCTTCGTCTTGCTGTCCTGCAGCATCTGCTGAGCCGTCTGAAAGAGCTTCTTGTCCTGCAGAGGGGGGGCAGAAGGAAATCCAGGCAGATCAGGGAGAGAGCTTCTGCAGTGATGATGAAGTGCATGCAGTGAATGTAAGAAAAAGGTGAATACCTTGGTGCCTCCGTTGGCATAGATGGGAATCATGTTCTCAGCTCCTTGTTTCACCTTCAGCTCGATGTTCAGCTGCCGCTCCAAAGCTGCGATGCGGTGCTGGTTCGCTGAAGTCCGATTCATCGATCCTGGAGATTTAGGGGTGTCTACACAAGAGGAGGGTTTTGGGTTTTAAGGGTTATCTTATTCATTCTTTAAGTGTTTTCTTAAGACAAAAACTCGCTCATGTTTTTTGGCACTGTGTGAAAATGACTGAGTACTGGGATGAAGTGTGGAAAGGAATAAAGCAATTTTAGGTTATGAACTTCCTTGAACCTAAGAGTTGTGAAGCGCTGTATCTGGGAAATTTATCACAGGAAAATATACAAAGCAAAGACAGATACCTGGCTGGATTAAAAAGTGGACTGACTTTAAAACCCATCACAAAGTCTGAAGAGAATGGACGATTTAAAAGGAGGCTAAACTGACACCAATGTTTGTATACTGTGTTTATTTTTATGTATCCTCATCAAGAAAAGCAAATAAAATATATGTAATAAAAAAATAAATAATAGACTCCCCGCCCCATAGTGGAACTAATGTGAGCTCGGTACCTTTGTTGTCATCGGGGCCTTTGACCACGATGTAAGCGTCCAGCTCCTGCAGCTGATCGTGGAGAGACTCCAGCTTTCGCTTTGAGCTGCGGATCTGCGAGTCCACCTGCTGGGCGTTCCTCTTGTCCGTGGTGGCCCTGCGCAGGTTCTCCGCCCCCTCCTTGATCTTTAACTCTTTGCGGATCTCCCTGCGGATCCTCTCGCGGTGCTCGTCCAGACGCTGCTGCACGCTGGAGTCCGAGAAGTCTGAGTTTTGGTCCAGACCGAGCTGCTGGAGAACCGACAGCCCGCCTGGATCGCTCTGAAGGAGGAGGACGAGACGAGAGTCAGATACTTAAAAACACAATGAAGAAATGTAACTTTGTGTCTGTCTTGGCGCCCCCAAGAACAAAGCGGTTCATTTAACTCTTTGTTCACAAATAAGTAATAAAAACAAAGAAAAGTTTAAGATATTTTTACTTCTCGCTGAACGTCTCCTTTGCTTTTATATTTTCATAAAGAAGCTTTAGTTTTCATTTGAGTCATTTACAGTTCATCAAAAGGTGACGGCACAGAAGTAGAAGGAGGGGATGAATGTGTGCAGGAAACAGTACAAACACATTTCAGAAAGCAAGCTGATACTTTAGTCATGAGTGTATGAGGGGGATTTTTCACTTTGACTTGAAAGAGAAACCGAATGAAAAGGTGACGTCTCCAGCTGAGAGCCGGCTGAGTCGAGGTTACGGCAGAGAGAGACCGTGAGCAGTCACCCCTGCACAGTTCAGTGGAAACCCGTGGGACGAGAGAGGAGGTGAAAACAGAAACTCAAATTCTAAATGTGCCGAGCCGATGCTGCGGAGATGCTTTAAAATCAGATACGGTGCTTAAGTGTGTAAAGAGCTGAGTGCTCACATCGGCTCTCTTACCCATCAACACTAACCAGATTAGGAGCTGATTAGATCAGCATTAACACAAACTCAAATCAATCGGCTCCTGGTCCTGCCTGTCAGCACCTGTGTGTCCGACCGGATGTACAGTACAGATGTTCCTTTACTCCCACTGACTTTGTTGGTATTTTTTTCCAGGCTGAGTAAACATATTTAAATGAAAATGACAATATGACAAAGGAGACACCAGACAGAGTGTTGGAGCGTCAGAGGAACGTTTAGCAGGTCTGTGTGACTGTTGAAATGCTTTCCTGTAATGCATGCAATGAAAGTACCTCAAAGTATTTCACCTGTATACTTAGAAACACTATCCTCGCCCCGGTTGGAACGGGTCAAAGGTAAAGATGACACCCAGAGATTCACCCATGTGGGGAACTTATGAGTCTGACTAAACACTGATGAAGAGGAGGGAGACAAACAGAAAGAAGCCGTTTTCAGCCCGCGGTTATATCCCTGTGACATTTCACCACTTTTCAGACTGTGTTACCTAAACTCAGCCTTCATTACGACTCTGTGCATTCATATTGATTCTGTGATGGCATGATATTCCTGTCCCAGTCTGTGAGTTCACATAACGTTTCAGTAGAGGAAGCACGGCACAGCAGGAGCTTCATGTACACACACACAGCGCTGCGTTCCCACGCTGGATCATCTGATCCCGTCTCGCCGCCGTTACTTACTACTACTTACTACTTCACTTAAGGTTGTAGAGAGGGGGGGGATCACTTTGTCTCCCCATTACGCCTCCAAGACATTCAGACTGAAGGAGAAAACGTCACAGGGATGTAAACTATCGTACCTTGAAAGGCTCAAATGTTGCAGAGGAGAAATTAAGTTATCACGCTCTGTCCCGTCTTCAGAGGCAGTGACAGTAACCGGGGCGAGATTGCAGCGCTGTGTGTATGTGCATGTCTGACTCTGTGTGTATGTGCATGTCTGACTCTGTGTGTATGTGCATGTCTGACTCTGTGTGTATGTGCATGTCTGACTCTGTGTGTATGTGCATGTCTGACTCTGTGTGTATGTGCATGTCTGACTCTGTGTGTATGTGCATGTCTGAATCTGTGTGTATGTGCATGTCTGACTCTGTGTGTATGTGCATGTCTGACTCTGTGTGTATGTGGAGCTCTCGCTGGGTAGGGCTCTCTTGCACTTGCGCAGTGCAGTAAGGTGGTGAATTCTTGTTTTGAAAAATGTGGATAAATTGCACAATTAAAGCCGCTATGACCACACCACACTTAAGTCTCTGACGCGGTCTGAGTGTGATTATTTTAAACTTTACAACAAGAATGTAGTCGGTCAGAGAGAGACTGAGTTACCTTTAACAAAAACATATTCCAGTTATGAACCCATTAACAGAGGCTTAAAAAAAACTGTCATATAATCCGTTAATATTGTGACATTTGATCCCATCACACACACACACACACACACACACACACACTTGGCCGCAGAGGGCAGCCCCCCCCCCCCCCTCTGCAGGGTATAATGACGAGGCGTTCAGGGCCTTTCACTGCACCGTGCAGCCAGGCTTCCAGCTTAGCAGATCTGATTACAACATCTTAGCTCCGTGTGTCCGTCCAGCTACATGCAGGCTGGGACTGCAGCTCTGCTCACATTAAAGCCATAATCCATCCAGCAACACAATACAGAACTACAGTCAGGCCACCAGAGCAACACGCCAAGCTCCCGCAGGATTGAACCCACCCGCTTATTCAAAGTGATTCTCTGATGTCACTGCACAAGAATATGAAGCAATGTCATTCAGCAGAGTCTCTGTTAGTCTAATGTTTAACTGAATCTCATTTCATCTAGTTTTTTACATTTTGAGCCTCCTGTGTTTCCTCATTTAGAATAAATGATAGCGTTTCCTCAGTTCCTGTTCTTATCTAGTTATTTTTACCTTAGTTTTTGTATTGTGGGATAAGGGGGGTGGGGGAGGGAGTCATGCTGTCGCTGTTTGATTAAATGTTGGCACTTTGGGATACATTTGTTGTATGAAAAGTTACACAAATAAAGTTTGATTGATTGATAATGAGTGTTTCTATTGAAAAGTACTGAAGCTTTATCAAAAAAAAGTCAGATTTTAAGTCATATGGTCAACCAAAAGCTGCAGCCAGAGAGGGAGAACTGTGGCGGTGTGTTCAAATTCAGAGAACGGCAAATACTGACACTTCTTGAGTCGTTTTGGTGTCTCATGAAGATGAAAAAGTTACGTCTATGTGTCTTAAAAACAAAGAGCAGAGGAGATGACACTGTCTTTAAATTTGGTGCTGAATGTTGCCAATGTGCAACAAATCTTTGGTCAACCAAAAACCAGAAATTACCCAACACAGGGGATTTTTGTTGTGATATGGTTAGAGGTTTTGACATCGTTTAATTTGTACTAGTACCATATTGAAGTTTAAGGTTCTAGTTTCCTGACAACCCCCACAGCACAAGTCCTTCTTCATATGGGCTGAGAAGCCTTCCAGGCCGAAGCAAGAGGCACCATGAGCGACCGGAAGGGAGAGTTTGTGTTTGTGACGCACTCCTGTTCAACACAATACGACTAAATCCCCCCGTGTTTAAGAAGACAAAGAACCACTGGAACGAGGTGCTGCACACTTTCAAATCACAGGATAAAAAAAAGGTGATTCACGGTCAGAGGCGAGACGTTTTTTTTTTTTTTTTTTGCAGGAAGTGAATAAGGAAGCGGAGTCAAAGAGAGAAGGCCACAGACGTGGATGGTAAGAAGAAGACGGCCATGTTGAGTCGGCTTACCAAACACTCAGAGTCACTCTGCTCAGTGAGCACGGGGGAATCAACCACATGATCCCCTGGTAGGTTCTCCTGTGTGTCTTCACTGGCCATGTTGGCGTCTCTCTGGCTTCAGCCCCGGCGCCCTCTCACCCCCGTCACACACACACACACACACACACACACACACACACCCACACACCCACACACCCACACACCCACAGCAGCGGCAATCAAACACCAAGAGCTATTCCTGCCTGCCGTTTAAAATCCAGGATGTCCTTCCCGCCAGGAATCGAAAGCCAGTCTAAAAAGTGGAGTGAGTGAAACGAGGCGGAGGGGAGGAAGAGAGAACTGCACAAACCAGAGCGCCCCACCTCGCTGCTTCCTGTTCTGCTCTCCGTCTAACAGAAGCCGAGGCGTCACACACAAACAGAAACACACACACACACATCTTTAGGGTTGTGTGTCACTTTGCTTCCTGATACTGAGGCTGTATTGGTCGATGATTGACATGTCAAATGGACTATAGAGCGATGGATATCTGTGCGTGGAAGTAGAGGTGTGTGATCATGTTAATTAATATTTACATGCAGGTGAGTTTAGAAAAAAAAAGGCAAAGGACACATATATAGGTATAGCATCAATTCATAGCAAATGTTATCTCGAGACACTTTACAAAAGAGCAGGTAACAGACCTTACTCTGTAGATTATCTACACAGACCCAACATTAATCCATCATCAAGAAACATTAGGCAAGAAAAAACTTCCTTTTAAGAGGCAGACATCTTGAGCAACATCAGACTCGTGATGAAACGGTGCTGGGTGTGAAAAATGGGATAGAGGGAGATACAGGAAGACGGAAAGGGGCCGAAAATATTAAAGGACGAAGCCTGAGTGACGTCACCGATCAGTGATGGAGTCCCATCGATGGCGGTCTCCATGCTGGAAATGCTGTCTCAGTCTAACTTTCAGTCAACCTAACGACAGGCTGAGAGCTGGAGCTGAGGCGGGTTTTAAACCTCCTGACAAACCGTTACACCGCGCCCACCTGTCAATCAGGTCAGCTACACGCCTTATTGTGAATAACTCTTATCCTTCATCAAATCAAAACTGATGAGTCATCAAAACATTCACCCCCCCCGTACAGTGTGTGTCCATCCAGACATGAGCTAATCAGATCTATTTGGTTTTTTGAACCAGGCTGTAAACATGTTCATCTCTGCTGTAAAAACAGGCTTTTTAGAATGGGTGTGTATGTGACTTCCTGTGCTTCTGCAGCCAGCCTCTAGTGGACACTCCAGGAACTGCACACCGGAGGTTTGCCGCTTGGGACAAACGGGGGGAGTGAAAAACTGTTGCTGAGAGGCAGATATTGATACTGGTTTCTGTATTGGAGCACCTCGAGTATAAAGTAAAGTGCTTCAGCTGGGTGTCCTATTTCAACAACAACAAACTGTCCATGTGTTCACTTCTGTTTTTGGCCTCTAGATATAAACATCAGACCATGTAGAGGCAGACTGCACACAAAGAGGAAGCAGCACAACCTTTGCCCGCTCTCTGCTGAGCTGATTATTTTGGAAACTGAACAAAAAACTCAAAAGATATCACACACACACACACACACCAGCAGCACGGACTGATCTGACAGCTACAGACGCTCTCGCTGTTATGTTCCTCTCTCTCAGTGACAGACACACAAGGTCGTGGGTTGATCTGACTCAGACGCTCAGCGGTGCGAGGTCACCGACCCGCCGAGCCCTCACAGAGCTGCAGATGGCCTTTTCTGGCTCTATATCTCTATCTGTCACACACACACACACACACACACACACACACACACACACTCACTAACTCACACAGTGAAGCAACCAAAGAGGCACCACATCACATCTAGTTCTTCTTATTCTTCCAAACTGCTTTCAGGGAAAAGGAAGTAAAACAATAACATGAAGTTTAGTCAATCTATGCAAACACAGGCAGACATGTTGGCTCCTGCTTAGCATCACATCAACCAGACATTACCACCTCTGTGTTTCATATCTGTGAGCAGGTATTCAAATATATCCTCACCGAGCAGCTGGGACTCCGGGTGCCTCCAGCGGGACATGGACCGGTGGTGTCTGCACAGAAAGCAGCCCCCATGCATCCATACTGTCTCACCTCTACAGATATGGATGAGCAGTCATCGACAAATCCACTCAAATTAGATTAAAAAAAACAAAAAACAAAAAAAAACAACTCTTAACGACGCCTGTGGCACCACACCGTCTCGCTCATTGTGTGTGTGTGTGTGTGTGGACTAGATACAGGCTCTAAAACTATGCTGACCACAGTTAGCAGGAACTAAGATATCATCTGTTTTTAAATACAGCTCTTAAAGGTACAGTGTCATCACCTTCACCTGGTTAGGACTGACCTATATTAACCACTTATGTCATGTATTTAATCCCCCTGTTTTTGTTTTTTTTACAGAAATATCAAGATTACAGCATCTAAACTAACTGAATGAATCAGTCCTGCCTCTTCATACGGCCTGAGAGAGAGGGTGAGGAGCTCAGACTCAGAGTAGAGCCTCGCTCCGTTTCTGATAAGTAAATAAACGATCTCAAACATAAAACATACAGTAA